TATATATATATATATATATATATATATATAGATATATATATACATATAAATTTTGGAAAATATTAACATATTGCCCTGTCATAAATAATTAATTTTAACACATAAGAATAAATTAATAAATTTAAAACTGCAAAAACAACTATAAGAATAAAATATATGACAGAATTAAATAATATGAACAGTAAATAACAGGAGCATACAATATTACATACTGTATTTTCGTAGAGCTTTATATTTAAAATTATTACGTTAAAAATATAAAATATTTATATTTTAAAGAATATGACAATAAATTCAGCATTATTATTATTATTATTTGGATTTTGTGTCTGGAACATACATATGGTAATATTAATGTAATAGAAAATACGCGTCTAAAGTTGTTTTCAATTGCAAGTATTCAATATCAAATGGCACAAAGTTCTTTATATACGATACATTTCCAAGTATAAGGTTAGAGGTACCGAATATTATTTGATTAATTTTTATTATATATTCCATTTATATTGATTTATACGTAAATAAACATTGAAAATTGTAACTTCATGTTTTAGATACCTATTATTTCATGTTTAACTTTTTACCAATAACAAATTAATTTGTTATAAGTCTTTTCTCGTAACATGCTGCAAAATACGATTTAAACAACTGACTCGACTAAATCATAATGTTGAATAAACTAATCATAGTTTAGTCGAAGTCGCCTTAATTTCGCTTCCGCAGCATTGTTCCGGATATATTAATAGTAATTTCCGAGTATTTCAATTTTGTTGCATGCTTATAATGCGCAACACATCTAATGCATACATCAGTGTGGGAAGGCGAAACCTTGAGATTCAAGGCCTTGCAAACGCTCGGACGCTTTGCTTTCATTTGCTATCAAATGGTTATCTCTCGTTGGCTTCTTTAAAAAATAGTATTCTGTACAAATAAAACTTGTAGTTTTTAGAAGAATAGAAATAAATGTGTATCTTTAGCATTGTATTCCAAGAAACGTATTGCAATTTATAATAATATTATTTATAATCGATATAAATAATATGCGATTATTATTTATAATTTATAAATGTAACCATATAATTATTTATGGTCATTTTTTTACGTTGCCAATACTTTGAATCTGTTACCTAATAGTTTAAAGCTTTAAAAGGTTAAGAATTTCGTCATGATGTGTAAAGAAGAACATGATTTGCAAATTTTATACATGATGACGAATCATGCTGGAACTAATTAACGCTGGTTAACACTTGCAATATACGTTACATCATCTAACGAACTATGGCTATGATATCCTGACATTTTGTACCATAAACACATATCGTCTAACTACGCTGTTCACATTGTGCTACTTAAACATATATATGTACAATGTTTTTGCTTTTTTTACCTATAATGCGTGTTCTTAGCGGCGAGACATTACTGTATCTCCTGATAACAGTTGTAGCATGTAATAATGATAGATGATGGTATATATCAATAAGACTGATGTTCTTACGCGACAGTTCTGTGCCATCGAACCTCAAATTGTTAATCGATAAAAGATTAATACTTCAAAAATATTAATAGATTGAATTGCAAAATATACTGCAACATAATCAAGTTAACGAGTATTTAAACTTGCTAGGCTTATTATCAGAACTCTGTCCAAGTAAGATCAATTTATTAACAATGTTTTTTCTTATAAGTCTGCGTAATTTTATGAATAGATGTACCTATTGCAAAGGTTTACGTAATTATTCGCATTTTGATATTAAAATTAATTTATGACAATAAATTAAGCGTAATGCTAATATGGAAAGCAATAGCAATTAAGTGATCGTAAAAGTCGATTCGCTCAAAGTAAAGTAAACCGAGGTGAAGTAAATTAATTTTTATTGATTAGTGAAAAAAGTAATCGAAAACAAATGTTGATATTAAGATTTTATTATGAATTCTTATAATTTTTACAATATTTAAGTGATGTACTCATAAAAATGGTCTTGTTTCTAATCTTATTATCATTAATTTTTATAACTTTTGCTAGGTTTTCATAATAAAATAAGACATAAATACGGTATTTCTTATTGCAAAAAAAAAAATAAAAAAAGGGAATTACCTTCATTTTGAAATTGAAAGGCGAAGCAAATCACTAATTAACTAGACTGACTTTGCAAATTATACACTATAAAAATAATTATAATTTGCATAAGTCTCAATATACTTTTTCGTTACAAAGTTATAAAAATTGTAATTTTTTTTTTAAATCGTGCAGATTTCATGTAAGAGAAAACAATTCTTCATGCATGAACGATATATCTACGCTTATATTGTCGACTGACATTGAATCATATGCAATACAGAACTGTTGTTTATTGTTTTCTGATGCAAGAGGAAGCGCGGAAGTAACTCGCATAATAAAATAGCTTGTTTGAAACAAACAAGACTACTAGTAAGTATGGAGAATTCTCAATGATAATTGATCTCACTCTTACATGTATGCAATACAGAACTATTCCTTGTTACACAGGCACTTCGCGAACTATTTATATAGCTCCGACAAACAAGTTGATTAGACAGTCTGTCATAATCTCGCTACGTATCTCCAGAGAATACAATCTGCAGGTTCGGTTTGGTGTGATTTTCCATTTCCATTTCTCTTTACCTGTGTAAATAATTCACCACTGAAGTGATAAGACTATACTTGAACGATTGCGAATAATTGTGATTCACAGTGTACGATATTGACCTTTATAATTTTTGGAATTCGACGAGTGTATGAATCGTACTTCATTACGCGATAATTTATGAACCTAGAAATTTACTGAATCATTTTCCATATCTGTCCAGTGTATAATTGAATTTGTAAAGCCACAGTCCACTGGTTTGTTATAACTTGTGGCCTATAATTGACAAGCTTCCTTTTGACTAATTAATTAACGCAAGTTATGTGCCGTAGTTTACATTTATTTGAGACAATGTTGCCTGATTGTATCTGATATTTTGTTACTTTTCTTTGTTTCTTTCTGTTTTTCAATCATACTCGCATAATTAGTTATTCTTTTAAATACAAGAATGTGGTGCGTATCGTCGCCATTTCATTAATAGCATATCGTGCGTCTCCGCAGATTTCAAGATGCCCATCGATCTTTACCAACTTACCGGAAGTCCGCCATGTCGGGCCGTTCTTTTAACAGCGGCAGCTGTAGGAGTGGATTTAAATGTGAAAAACGTGGATCTCTCTGCCGGCGAACACCTAAAACCCGAATTTATTAAGGTGACTTATAATAAAATTTTTGTAATAAAACATTTAAGAATATAAATACAAGTGAATTCTTAAATTAAATTATTTGTATGTTGTTACTCTTTAAATTTTTTGGAATGGATTCTCATTCTAAAGAATGAAAATTAAATCACACTTTTTAAAGCCAGACTCAATTTTCAATCTTTAAGAATGAGATTTCACTCTTTAGAGCTTTCACTCTACAAAAATTGTAGAACATGCAACAAAAACTCCGAGAATTTATTTAAAAAAAGAAAGGATTAAGAAGGAGAAGGATTTATATATATTTATATAATAGATGAACCCACAACATACAGTACCTACATTGGACGATGATGGCTTATATTTGTGTGAAAGGTGTTTATCTTTTAATCTTTTTATATTAAAATTTAACGAATATTACAAGTCTAATTTTTACACACATATAAAATAAATATATTTTTCTGTATCTAACTGTCTTTGTCATATATTTTTCTTTAAATTCTTTAGTAAAATCAATATCAGTTAATTATTATTATAATAAATTATTTACGCGCTCGCATCGCTTTGCAGCCGCGCAATTATGACCTATCTAGTCAATCAATATGGCAAGAATGATTCTCTGTATCCAAATGATCCGAAAAAACGAGCCATGGTTGATCAAAAACTTTATTTCGATATGGGAACTCTGTATCGATCGTTCGCTGATTATTACGTAAGTTATTCTTGGAACATATAATACTTCATAAATCATATTTAATATGTATGATTGATAGAAATGATACACGTATATAATGTATGTACATACATTAATCGCAGTATCCAATAATATTCACCGGCGTCACTCCGGAGCAAGCAAAATATGATAAACTGCATGAAGCCTTGTCTCTCTTGAATAAATTCCTGGAAGGGGAAAATTATGTAGCGGGAAAAACTCTAACTCTCGCTGATATTACCTTGGTCGTCTCCGTTTCTAATTTTCCGGTAGGAAAACTATATAATTTTATACAAACACATACTACTCATTCATTAAAACATTTATTAAATCGATAAAATAGCGTAGGGAAAAAAAGCATGTCTATAGATTTAGACATAAAAAAGTATCTCTTGTTTTTAAATTAAATATTAGTTTCATTATTTGTAATTTATACTATTATTATTTTTTTTAATACTAATTTTAAGTAAAACTTTATTGTAAGTTTATAACACTTTGCTATATATAAACAAGTGCGTATTTTGATATGACAAACAAAATCAAAAACTAAATTTTTACAAAAATATAGCTTTGCAAGAAAGTTATTATAAAAACAAAATAACATCAAATTAGCAATTTAATATTTTCTTTTGCAGCTTGTGGACTATGATTTGAGTAAATATAGCAACATTCTGAGATGGTTTATTAAGATCCAAGCCGAAATTCCTAATTACAGTGAACTCGAAAGCGTTGGTATGAAGGCATTCGCAAACTTCGTCGAACGCTATAAAAAAAAGACGTAATTTCGTCGCATAGATTGAATAGCTGTACAATGCATTGATACTGAATTATTTTTACAGTATTTTTTCTTCTAGAATTATTACGTATTATAG